TCACGCGAGCCTCAAACCTGAACGCCCACACACTCTTTGTTCTAGTCAATCATCCGGTCAGCCTCCACTACAGACGATGTCGCGCCTCGCGCATAATACGTAATTTTTAAACCAAAGCTATTTTCTGTCACTTGCAAAAACCAGGGCGGATACCCTTGTAAGGGTATTCGCGCCGACAATGGCTTACCTCTGAGCATCATATCTGACCGTGACCCACGCTTTACCAGTCGATTCTGGCGACGGCTCCACGAGGTTTACGGCACCCGGCTCCGCTTCTCCTCGTCTTACCATCCCCAGACTGATGGTCAGACCGAGGTCACGAACAGGACTCTTAGAGATATTCTCCGAAAGATTGTTCGTGACGACCAGCAGTGGGATCTTCATCTTGCCCACGCGGAGATAGCCTATAACCACGCCGTTTCGCCAGCCACGGGGATGTCGCCCTACTATTGCGACCTCGGCTATCACCCTCATGTTCCCGCGGACTTCCTTCGACCGTCACAAATGCACCTCGACACGAGTTGTCTTGCACTGGATGATTGGGTTGCACACATGACGTCGATCATGAAGACCGCACATGAGCACATACCCGCTTCCCAGACTCGCATGGCACCACATGCGAACCGATCGAGGATGAATCATCCATTCAAAGTCGGTGATGATGTGCTTATCGACGCTCACCACTTACAGCTCGAAGCGGACATGCTTCGCAAGTTTCTATGTCGCTTCTTTGGCCCATGCCATATCCTCCAGGCCGTCGGTTCTGATACGGCTTCTAGACCGGTCAGCTTCCGTGTGAAGCTGCGCGACTACCTACGCGAAGCTCGTGTGCACGATGTCTACCATATCTCGTTACTGCGTCCTTACCGCAGACCGTCTGAGCGTTTCGTTGGACGACCATACGAGCGCCCTCCACCCATCATGGTGGACGGCCACGAGGAGTTCCTCGTTCCAGGTATCATTGGTCGTCGAGTCACTGACGACAACCCTCCCTACGTCGAAATTCTCGTACGTTGGAAGGGTTACCCTGATCAGGAGGCTACATGGGAGCCCCTCGAGCACTTGCAGCACGCTTGCATGCTGGTGCGTGCCTATGACCATGCTCGTCGTGCTAGGTTTACTGCTCCTCCTCAGCCCACTGACCCTCCTCCCCCGACTGAGGAGACCGTTGAAGTCGAGCCTGGTCCATCTGAGGCAGACCTTCAGCAACAGCCGGATGCTTCTGAGCGTCCACAGCGCACTCGTCGTCGTCCTGCTCGATACGACTATTGACTCTAACTTACCTTTCCACGTCTTTGACTTCTCAGTACTCCATCCACATCAGTTTTGCTACTTCAGCTCGTCGACGTTGTGGCTTTTCCTCGACGACATTCCGGACTTTTCATCATGAACGTCATCGGCAGCTTCACGGACTTCGTCATGATCAGCTCTGCCTACTTCAGACATCGCCATTCTCTTACCACTTTACCCTATACAGTACCCGTGTTGTGTCGCATGATGGTCTCCCTTTAGCCGGGTTCCTCTGAGTTGGGTTCTCCCTTGGTATACGCATAGGCATCGGGACCGTAGTGTTGCCCTTGCTTCCCATCTTACGGATCTAGCTCCAACTTCCCTCACTTTAGGAATCATTTGCATGATTCCTTTACCCATCACCTTTCTACCCTTTGTCGGCCCTTACGCCCTAGTTAGGCAGCCTTGCATGCTTCATCTAGGTGCGCCCAGTATACCGGACTCCCTTGTTCCCTTGCATGGTCGACCCTCCATAATGGTCACCCCTTTAGTCGAGCATTACGCGCCCTGATGGTCTATCTGTTAGGGTCATTGGTTTTGTTCGCTCCCAGTTCCCTACCTTCATTGATCCTGATGACATGTGTTTCCCCTGTCATTATGTGTGGATGCCCTTAGGAGTTATCGACCCCTAGGCTCCCTTGTTCCCTTGCATGGTCGACCCTCCATAACGGTCACCCCTTTAGTCGAGCATTACCCACCCTGATGGTCTATCTGTTAGGGTCATTGGTTTTGTTCGCTCCCAGTTCCCTACCTTCATTGAGCCTGATGACATGTGTTTCCCCTGTCATTATGTGTGGATGCCCTTAGGAGTTATTGACCCCTAGGTTGCATTCGCCACCCTCAGAGACCATCCCACCCTTTGGTTCGCGACACACTTCTCATGTAACATATGGTTGTCTTTGTTGTTGCTTTGTTGCTCTCAGACTGAGGCTACTGCCTCTGACATTTCTATGATTTAGTTGTTATGCTTTTGCTGTTTTTAGGACTTATACACTAGTTAGTTGTTTCCAGACTGAGGCTACTGCCTCCAACATTCTAGTACCTAGCTATCATTACTTCCTGCTTTCCTAGGACATGTATGCTAGTTAGTTGCTTTTGCTTTCACTTAGGCTGTTAGTTGTGACATTGCTGGTTTTGTGACATTTTCTATCCTAGGTTGCATCGCATGGACTCACCATGGAGCTCGCTCCGCATCCTAAATTACTCAGGTTTTCTTTTTCTTTGGTAGAGTTCCGCTTCTTGGCGGAAGAGTGTTTGTATCTAGGCGATCCATCACAGGCTAAGGATCGTGTAGCGGACCTCTGGTTGGCCTGTGAGACCAGCCCCTTGGCCTGTTCTCGTAGGCCTGTGTTGTATTTGGGGCAGTCTAGGCCGGTACCTCGGTCGGTACCAGCAAGTCCAGTCCAGTCCCGTCAATCCGCTGGGGTATACCCCAGCAGTTGTCTGTTTTCAGGATCATTGTATATCTGCACACTTTGGAGTACGTGCGTTGGAGTCTAGCGTGGGAGTTGCGCTGTGCCATCTCGCTCCCCCTTCTTCCTCCATCTCCATCTCTATCTCTGGCGGAGCACCACACCCGGTGGGTCCGCCACATGAAGGGTGTTCTGACGTGGTGATGAAAAACACGACTGTTGTTAACCTTCTCTCTTCGAGCTGAACCACGAACAGTAAAGGGGCAAGAGGGCAGCCTTGCCTCAAGGAACGGTTAAGTTAAAACTCCTCAGAGAGCCTGCCATTAACCATCACCACCGAGGAGGCTTCCGAGTACATTGCATTCACTCATGTGCAGAAACCCTTGTCGAAACCCGTGTGAGATAGGGAGGTGAATACGAAAAACCAGCCTATCTTATCGTACGCCTTCTCCATGTCTAGAAGAAGGACGACAACGTCCTTCTGTTCTGAACCAATTATCTATAGAGTCTGGATCGTGGATAGTATATTATCGAAAATAGTTCTTCCTTTGACGAAGACTCCTTGTTCGGCACCAATCAGATTAGGTAGATAGCTTGAGAGGCGGATGGCTAACGCTTTTGCAAGGCTTTTATAAGCGACGTCTGTTAGCTAACGTCTTATAGAGGAGGGAAATCACCCCTGTTAGCCAACGTCTGGGTAGGGAGCCTGAGTCCAAGGCCTTGTTAAGGATTTGACATAGAAAGGGGCCGAATGTCTCCCAAGCACTGAGGAGAAGTTCAACCGGTAAGCCATCCAGCCCGGGGCATTTGCCTACGACCATTTGTTTGGCCGCTTGCTGCAGCTCTTATGAGGTGAAGGGTTTATCTAGTGCCTCCACAGCCGAGGGCAACAACGTTGCTCTCAAGCCGGACCAAAAACCTGACCTTTCCGTAAGGTTCGTTGCAATGGAGTCGTAGGGCCTTCTTGTGGAGACAATGTCTCTAAAATATTCTGTGGCGTAGTGACACATGTTGACCGTGTCTTTTGCTATATCTTTATCAAGGCTAAAGGGGTGGAACAGTTCCCTTAGCATAGGCTTGGTCTGTTTAAGGATAAGCGACAATCATTCTATCATAGCCTATAAGTCCCCTTAGTTTGAGTCACTCTAGCCACTCAGACTGGTGCCGAGTTTCTAGCTGGTCAAGTATTGTGAGGTTTTCATTACGGATTTCAGACCAATAGAAGTCTGAGAAGGGATCAAGCCGCATTTTCTTCTCTGCCTCTACAATCGTCTTTTGAACACATTGTTCTTTCCAGTTTCTATTTGCTGCTTTCATCCTAGAGAATGTCTCGAGAGCGGTGGTGATTATGCCCAAACCAACTTCTGCCCATGAGTGTTCGTGGTCGAAGAGGTCTTTAGCATCAGACCATTTTGTCATTTGAGTGTTTACCCACTCTGGGACCCCCTTGTCTTTCACCAGATTAGTATTTAGTTTGAAGGGGGGGCGGGCTTTGTCAAATATTTCTTTTGTGAGTATATCCATACAAACAGGGTATCATGTGGTCACACCACATACACCTATCCCAAACTGCGCCCCTTGTGAGAATGAAATCTAATCTTTTTCTAGGTTGGGGGGCTGTGCTGGCTTTTGGAAATTCATTCACGGAACCCGCCACCACCCGCTCCCGTGGCGGCACGTAGGAGGCCCAGATAAGAAACAGCCGAATTATTTTCAAGGTCCGCTGCAGAAACATGTGCGATCCCCCCTTTTACCCCGAAAGTACCTCTAATAATGATTATGGGATCAGACACTAAGGGAAGGCAGGCGCCAGAGCCTCAAAATGTAGCTTCGTATGAATAGGCCCGGGAGTAGACAGCCCCAGAGCGGACCCGCACTGACTGCGGTCAGAACTATCCAGGTCAGGCTCTAGTGTCGGTTAGTGACATGCAGCGAAGTAGCACTCCCGGCACCCTTGAGAGGGTCTGTGACTCTGTTTTGGTGAGTGGCGGGTCGAGGCCCTACGCTTGATTTCTATTGGCCAACCGACCCCTCCGTTAGGCAACAAAACGCAGCCTAGTCTTGAGGGATTAGCGCAGTGTGTGGACTGCGGAACACGCGCCATCTTCCCAAGTACGAAAATTTGGTTGCGAAACACCCGCCATCTTCCCAAAGAGGGGGGGAGATACCGCAGAACTAGCTGATGCAGCGTGTGCCGGCATTGCTGCTTTTACCGAGCGAGCGTGTTATCGAGGGAAAGGGCGGGAGGGTGAGCCGGCATTACTGCTATTACCGAGCGAGCGTGTTGTCGAGGGAAAGGGCGGGAGGGTGAGCGGGAAGCCAGCCGGAAGGGGAGGGGGCGGTGGCCCTTTACGGTGTGGGGGACAGTCTGATTGAGCTTGACCATGGATCTAGGCAGACGCGTGGGGCAGTGGCAAGATGGAAATGGAACTCGTCTCGGGTCCAACCATGTTCCAGTTTCAGATGGTCGGTTTGGCAATTGCGATGTTGACGCTGTTGCTCGAGGGAAGGGAGGGGAAACGAGTGGGTCGTCTTCCTCGGGGAAAGTGTCTCTCCATGAATACGCACCATCATCAGACAGTATAGGGGTGCCGAAGAATCCTTTGCCGATTCCCGCGCCCCCAACCAATCCCCTTGTCACCCCGCTTTTAACGGACATCTACCAGATAACCATGGCGTACGCATATTGGAAGTCGGGAAAAGCAGAAGACCATGCTGTGTAAGTTCGCCCCCCCCCCAAAACAACTGTTATTTTCAGCGCCCGTGGCTTCTCTCTCTCTCTCTCTCTCTCTCTCTCTCTCTCTCTCTCTCTCTCTCTCTCTACGATCGATCGGGAGGATACCCCGCGGCCGACTTGTCCCGATGAATGATGAAGGCTTGTCGATCTCTGGTCATGATCGTATTGTATCAATCAATCATTGATGAAATCCCCCCAGAATAGAAGGGGCTCTTGTGTTTTGTGGAAAAGCGAAAAACAGAAATCCCGCTAACGTTGCGCAAACTTCCAAATTTAAGATCACTGGTCGTTTTTCTGCTTGCTTGCTAGTCGTATTTCGATTCCTTGTCAATTTTCCTGCCGTTGGCGGTTGATTCGCCTTCTCCCGCTTCCCGCTTCCCGCTTCCCGCTTCCCGCTTCGCCTTCTCCCGTTTCCCGCTTCCCGCTTCCCGCTTCCCGCTTCCCGCTTCCCGCTTCGCCTTCTCCCGTTTCCCGCTTCCCGCTTCCCGCTTCCCGCTGAATCAATCAATTCATCAAATGTCAGATCAATCTTTTTACTTCCTCTCGCTTATGAATCATTTATACTCAAAAATAAACTTAGAAGAAATGCTGGAAGCAGGAGTTCATTTTGGACATCATCACATATATGGAATCCTAAAATGGCTCCTTATATTTTTAGTGAATGAAAAGGAGTTCATATAATTGACCTATTATATACTAGATCAGCAATTTGATTCTCAAATTGAATTTGGAATATTTCAAAAACTTGGTGATCCAACTACTAGAAAACAGACAGTTTAAACGAACACACTGGTTGTTTTTTTCAAGAAATAGAGAAGTCCATTTACACTCTATTTGATTTAATTGACAGAGAACTTTGAAATTATCTTTTCTTTCTATTTCTATTTATTATTTACAAGAATGAAAGATAAAGTTTAAATTGAAATAAATATATGTAATTAATATAATAACTGTTTCCCCCCACCAACTTCCCCGTACTCGGCGCCTCCCCCCCTGTCGTCAGTCTGGTGGGTTTTTCTCACTCCTCATCCTCCTCCTGGCAGCGATCGAAGTTTTGCTGTCCCTCCTTTTCCGCTTCGTGGCGTCCGAGGGAGAACAAGACAGCTCCGTCTCTTCCATAAACGTCTGTCGTGTTTTTAGTTGACTTCCCGGTTCACACCGCCGTGCTCTCCCTCCTTTTCTTGTTCTTTTTGCCTGATTTGCGTAGTGAAAGGTTATGCCATTTTTTGTATGATATGGTTACGTCATTTGTCTGTTTATTAGAATTAAAATGATATGCGGATTTTGAAATAGCAGTTAAGACTGGCCATTGCTTAAGGAAGTCAACTAGGGGGGCGATCTCAGGTTTCGAACCTTGGACCTTCGTGTGCTTACTAGGGGGTATTTTCTGTAGGATTGAGCTAGTGTTTGGTCGATCTCAGGTTCCGAACGGCGACGTCCTTTGTGTTTCGTGTTGTGGTCAGATACAGAGTTCGAACGAGGGGCCTTGAGAATATTCTCCGTGAATATCGGGTTGATGTCTAAAAAGGGACCTTGGGAGTATTTTCTGTAGGAATTGAGGGAATGTCCGGGTTCAGGGTTCGCCAGGAATGTCCTTGGAATTGACGAGAGGGTTTTCCGTGCTGTTTTTTTGTGTGATTACTTGGTTTGGAGTTGGGGATGTAGGCACTGGTCTGTCTTTTGGACTTGAACCTGGCACCTTCTGTTTGACAGTCTAGGCCGCAGCATTTTCGAGGACCTTGTTACTTTGCTGACTCGTTCTCTAGACCTTTGGGTACACGCGACTTTGTGACTCTGGACTACGTGCAGTTGACTAGCCTGGGCGTATTGTTGTTTTTTTGGTGCCGATCTGGTTTGGACATAAGTCCAGCGAAGGACCCTGACGATCCTGCTTGGCGGCCAGGTGAAACCGGTCCGTGCTTCATGATTATCTTCTAATGAAGTCGCGTGTCTTCTTCTTCTACTTCTCCACTGTGTGACACGAGTCCGTGCTTCATGTTTATCTTCTATTCTTTTATTCTTCTATTCTCCTCCCTGCTTTTTTTAGTTTCTCCTGTTCATGTTGAAGTTTGGTTTGAACCATCATCATTGTTTGTCACACAGTGCTTAGAGCTCCCCTCCCCTCATCCTCCGCTTCGTTTTATTTTATTTTTATAA